CAGAAATCCCCTGTGTTTTTTGACCCTGACCCCGCCGATCTGCGTGAGGTGTGGCACGGAATACCAGAAATGTGTCAAATCCCATGTGTTTTTTGACCCTGACCCCGCCGATCTGCGTGAGGGGTGGCGCGGAATTCCAGACATGTGGCAAATCCATTGTGTTTTTGGACCCTGACCCCGCCGATCTGCGTGAGGGGTGGCACGGAATTCCAGAAATGTGGCAAATCCCATGTGTTTTCGGATCCTGACCCCGCCGACCTGCGTGAGGGGTGGCACCGAATTTCAGAAATGTGGCAAGTCCCATGTGTTTTCGGACCTTGACTTCGCCCAGGAGGGCCCAGGAGGCTCCAGGAGAGCCCAGGAGAGCCCAGGAGGGCCCAGGAGAGCCCAGGAGGGCCCAGGAGGACCCAGGAGGCTCCAAGAGGCACCAGGGGGCCCAAGGAGGGCCCAGGAGAAGCTCCAGGAGGCTCCAGGAGAGCCCAGGAGGGCCCAAGAGGTCCAAGGAAGACCCAGGAGGGCCCAGGAGCCCTTACGAGGGATCGTGGCCCTGGGAGCGCTGACGTAGCGTAATTTACGATGGATCGTGGCCCTGGGAGCGCGGGTGTAGTGTAATTTTTGAGGATGTCCCTAGCGAAACGCTTGGTTTTCAGAATTTGTTGAGGATGTCTCGAGCGAAACGCTGGTTTTGCAGAGTTGGGGATGTCTCGAGCGAAACGCTTGTTTTCAGAATTTGTTGAGGATGTCTCGAGCGACACGCTGGTTTTGCAAAGCTGACCGCGACGCGGAAAAGCGCACCGTGCGCAGGAAATCCGAGGATGTCTCGAGCGTGCCGCGTCCCGCGCGCAGGAATTTCGAGGATGTCTGGACTAATTCGTTTGTTTTGCCAGGATTTCCTTGAATTTTGGCAGGATGTCTCGAGCGAACCGCTGGTTTTGCAAAATTGGGGGATGTCTCGAGCGGGGGCCTCGTGGGGGGCCTCGTGGGGGTCCAGAATTCAGAGGATGTCTCAGGCGAAATGCTTGTTTTCACGTCCCGCTCGCAGGAATTCCGAGGATGTCTCGCGCGTGCCGCGTCCCGCGCGCAGGAATTCTGAGGATGTTGGCAGGATGTCTCGAGCGAAACGCTTGTCCCCAGCACGTTCCGTAGCGCGTCCCCTTGGCACGTCCCGCGGTGCGTCTCCATGGCACGTCCCTTGGCACGTCGCTTGGCGGGTCCCTTGAGACGTTCCGCGTTTAGGGTTTTCCTGGCATGTCCCCCTGTCAATTAGCTCTGGGGCAGCTACTATGTGCTGAGGCAGCTCGAGCTTAAGATCCAGATCAGTTCGGTCAGGACTCGGATGCAAAGGAGGACTCGATCCACGAGGCTATAGAGCACAATCGAGGCATAACACATCGCAATTCAGCACGGCGCAGCACAGCACAGATTTCGGCACGGTACATCAAGATCGATACTTTCAGCATTGCAACTTGGCACGTCCCTTGGCACGTTCCGTGGGGCGTCCCTTGGCGAGTCCACCTGGAACGTCGCGCGGCGCGTCCCCTGGCACATCCCGTGGCACATCATCCATTGGCACGTTCTGTAGCGCGTCCCCTTCGCACGTCCCGCGGTGCGTCCCCATGGCACGTCCCCTGGCACGTCGCTTGGCGCATCCCTTGGGACTTTTCGCGGCGCGTCCTCCTGGCATGTTCCCCTGTCAATTAGCTGTGGGGCAGCTACTATGTGTTCAGGCAGCTCGAGCTTAAGATCCAGAACAGTTCGGTCAGGACTCGGATGCAAAGGAGGACTCGATCCACGACGCTATAGAGCACAATCGCGGCATGGCACATCGCAATTCAGCACGGTGCAGCACAGCACAGCCATCGGCAGGGTACATCAAGATCGATACACTCAGCATTGCCCCAGTCAGGTGTCTTTGAAAGCGCTGCCATTCTATATTCCTTTCCGGGTTCGTGGGTCGATCATGTTAGTGGGTTTACCTCCGGGTTTGACTTGAGGTGGGCCGGCGAATTTCTTTTGCGATAAATATCGAGGTCGAGGTGGGCCGGCGAATTAAAAATTGAGGATGTCCCTAGCGAAACGCTGGTTTTTGAAATCGCGATCGATGAATCACAGGGTGCGGCACACGTTTTGGTCAGAGGCATGGATTATTTAATGCCTATAGATTGGCCCCATCCAGGGGGTACGTATCTGTGTGTTTTTACGTATGTTTCTATAGATGGGCCCTCTCGTTACTTATAGATTGGCTCTCTCCACGGGCACGAATACGTGTGTGTTTTACTTATATTCCTATACATGTGCCCTCTCCAGGAATATGTGTGTTCCCATAGATTGGCCCCATCCAGGGGCACGCATGCGTGTGTTTTCACGTATGTTCCTATAGGTGGGCCCTCTCGTTACCTATAGATTGGCATTCTCCAGGGGCACGCATGCGTGTATTTTTACGTATGTTCCTATTAGATGGGCCCTCTCATTACCTATAGATCGGCATTCTCCAGTCGCACGAATTCGTATGTTTTTATTTATATTCCTATATATATATATATATATATTGATTGCCCCCCCTGTCGATTAGTTCTGGGGCAGCTTCAATCTGCTCAGGCAGCTCGAGCTTCGGCCCAGCACAGCACAGCCGTAGGCACGGTACATCAAGATCGACACACGCAACATTGCACCTTGGCACGTTCCTTGGCGCGTTCCATGGCGAGTCCACCTGGCACGTCGCGCGGCGCGTCCCCTGGCACGTCTCGCGGCACGTCCATTGGCACGTTCCGTAGCGCGTCCCCTTGGCACGTCCCGCGGTGCGTGCCCATGGCGCGTCCCCTGGCACGTCGCCTGGCGCGTCCCTTGGGACGTTTCGCGGAGCGTCCTCCTGGCATGTCCCTTCCGTAGACTAGTTCTGGGGCAGCTACCATCTGCTCAGCTCGAGCTTAAGATCCAGATCAGTTCGGTCAGGACTCGGATGCCAGGGAGGACTCGATCCACAACGCTATACAGAGCACAGTCGCGGCATGGCACATCGCAGTTCAGCACGGCGTAGCACAGCACAGCGCTCGGTACAGTACATCAAGATCGATACACTCAGCATTGCATTTGCCCGCCGCCCAATCAGGTGTCTTTGAAACGTTGCCATGTCTTACATTTCTATATTCCTTTCCGGGTTCGTGGGTCGATTATGTTTTGTCACGTGCCCAGGTCGCCCAGGCGGACGTCTAACATTAAGATGTGTTGAGGATGCTTCGAGCGAGACGCTTGGTTTCACGTGCCCAGGTCGCTCAGGCGGACGTCTAGCATGAGGATGCGTTGAGGATGTGTTGAGTGAGACGCTCGCTTTCACGTGCTCAGGTCGCCGAGGCGGATGTCTAACATGACGATGATCGGAAGATGCCTCGAGCGAACCGTTCGTTCTTGCGAGTCGAGGTCGCCCAGGTGGATGTTTAGCATGAGGATGTGCTGAGGATGTGTTGAGCGGCGCGCTAGGTTTCACGCGTCCAGGTCGTGCAGGCAGATGTCTAGCATGAGGATGTGTTGTGGATGCCTCGAGGGAGACATTTGTTTTCGCGTGTCCAGGTCGCCCGGGTGGATGTCTAACATGAGGATTGGTTTAGGATGTCTCGAGCGAAATGCTTGTCGCAGTAGAGTGCGCCGCAGTCCAACCCCGCCCGTCCGTGGGGCGTCCCCTGGCGCCCTGGCGCGCCCCCAGGCGCGTCCCTTGCGACGTTAAGTCGTGGTGTGCCCTGGCACGTCCCCTAGCACGCCACTCGGCGTGGCACGTTCCCTGGCTCGTCCTCTGGCGCGTTTCCTTGCTCGTCCCCAGGCGTTTCCCCTGCCCGTTTCGCGGCGGGCCCCTTGCAACGTCTTTTGGCATGACGTCCTCTGGCCGCCCCATAGCACGCGCATTGGCACGTCCCGTGGCAGGTCCCTGACACGTCCAGGACACGTCCCCTGATGCGTCCCCTGACACGACCCCTTGGCGCATCCCCTGTTTGCGCCCCTGGCACATCCTGTGGCGCGTCCGTGAGCCTGTGCCCCGCGTCGTGTCGTTCATGTTCAGAGCTGAATCGGATTTTTAGGTCGAGTTGATTGAACGTCCTCCACGTTTCAAATTCAACTAGCCCTGGGGCGGCTACTACGTGCTCAGGCAGCTCGAGCTTGAGATCCAGATCAGTTCGGTCAGGACTCGAATGCCAAGGAGGACTCGATCCACAACGCTATCTAGAGCACACTCGCGGCATGGCGCACCGCAGTTCAGTACGGCACAGCTCAGCACAGCCTTGGGCACGGTCCACCGATAACGATACATTCAGCATTGTAGTTGCCCGTCGCCCAATCATGTGTTTTGAAAACGTTGCCGTGTCCCACGTGTCCATATCCATTCCTGGGTCCGTGGGCCGATCATGCTTTGCCAGCTATTGGCCGTCGTCCTCTCTCCTTCCCTCCCTCTTCCTCCCCCTCCTCGATGCGACACCCCTCTTTCCTCTTTGCTTCTTCGTCCTCGTTGCCGGTCCCTCCTACAGTCGGGGCGTTGACCAAAGGAACCCTAAATAAGGAACGAGGCCCCTTTTTTCCATAAGTTAAACTTTGATTTCCCATCGAAAACTTAGGGAAGCCCTGGGGCAAACTGTTAAACAATCAAGGAACACCGAGCCCCTCCCCAACGAAAAGGGTTCCTTCTTCAGGGCCCCGACTGTACCCCGATCCAGCGCTCCGCTTCTTTAGCATTCTGTGGCTTCCTCCTTCCTCTGGGTCCGCATCCGCTGCTCGTCTCTCCCCCTCCCTGCCTCTCTCTCGCCGCTCCCTTCTCCCTGTCCTTGGCCGTCGTCGTCGTCGTCGTCGTTCACGCCCTCGTTTTGCTCATCATCCCGTCGTCGTCGTCGTCGTCGTCGTCGTCGTCGTCGTCGTTCACACCCTCGTTTTGCTCAGGATCCCGTCCTCTCCTGGCCCCTCCTGCTTGTCCTGCGTGCCCCCTTTCTCTTGCTCCGACTTCGACTCCCCCTCCTGGCCTTCTTCTCCCCCTGCTCCTTCGCCTTTCTCCTGCCTGCGTGTACCTGTCCGCTGCTGCTCAAGACCATGCGAATTGAGGGATGGATGTCAGCACTGGTGAGCTTTGTGTCATGGAGTTGCGTGGTATTCTTCGCCATCGGGCTGACCACTGCGGTCTGCATCAGTGGAGCACAACCCTTTGGGGATGGCAATGTCCTCTTGGTAGTGCGAGATCGGGCACGGGCGACGATCGACACGGCAGGCAACGCCGGCGCGCCTAGGCCGCGAGCCCAAGAGCCTCCGCTGCCAGAGGGGGCCTCGTCCGCCAGCGGTGGCGCGACCCAACGGCTGGACCTTGCCTCGCAGCATCGGCCGCACGAGCGAACGATGGCCTCCACGACAGTGTGGCTCTGGCAAGCCACTAAGGTCGCCACCATCTCTCCTGCGAAGATCCACTGGCTTACGCCACGCCGCCGACCCCTCAGGGCCCGTGGATGCCGAGATCATACTTGACCATAGGAAGCCGATTCCTGTGTTGCTATTCTTATCGTGGTCCTCCTCTTTCTCCTCCTCCCCCTCCTCCTCCTCCTCCTCCTCCTCCTCCTCCTCCTCTCCTTCCTCCTCCTCCTCCTCCTCCTCCTCCTCCTCCTCCTCCTCCTCCTCCTCCTCCTCCCCCTCCCCCTCCGCTCCCTCCTTCGACCCCCGTCCCGTCGATCGTCGACCCTCCTCGATCTCCCATCTCCTCCTCCTCCTCCTCCTCCTCCTCCTCCTGCTGCTGTTCCTCGATCCGTGCTCCCATCGACTTTTCGTCAATCGTCCATCCCACGGCAAAGCCGCCCCGACGACAGGCATCCAGGGCCCCTGAGAGCGTGAAGAGCTGCTTCTCTACGCCTGCGAGGGGCTCCCCCGCCCCACGAACGCCATTCTCCTCATCCTCATTTTCTCCCCCTCCTCCTCCTCCTCCTCCTCCCCCTCCTCCTCCCCTTCCTTTGGCCCGCTCACGCCTCTTCGTCCAGCCCCTCTCTTGGAGGCAGTTTGAAGCCGCTTGGGTGCCAGGGCCGTGGAGGAGCCCCCAGGGGGCTCGTTTGGCCCCTTGAATCAAGGGCATGAAAAACGCCCCTACCTTGGTTTACGAGCCGCTGTGCGCTGAGACTCCTGTGGGCTGACAGGGTAAACCCTGAGTGACGTGCCGCGTCCTGGCGGCTCCAGGCTTTGGGGGCTTCCAGGAGGTTTACAGACCACGCACTTGTAATCCAGGGTAGGGTCGTTTTTTCATCCCTCAATTGAAGGGCCTCGCGGGGCCCTCCTGGGCCGTTCTGGGCGCCTCTTGGGGGGCCGTCCTAGGGTCGTCCTGAGCCCCTCCCGTGCCGTCTTCAGCCCTCTCAGGCTGTTTTGGGCTTCTCCTGGAGACCTCTTGGGCTGTCGTCCCGGGCCGCCTGGAGCCGTCTTGGGGCCCTCTCGAAGGCGTCTTGGCCCGTCTTGGGGGGTGTCCCCAAATTGGCGCGACGGACGCATGCGAGCGCTGGCATGTGGACCTTCGGTGGAGCTCCCTATGGGGCCACAAAGCGTTTGAAGGGTGTGCCAAAATGGATGCGTTGGGCGCACGCGAGCGCTGGCATCTTGGCCTTCGGTGGAGCTCTCTATGGGGCTACGAAAAGTGTGAGGGGTGTCCCGAAATTGGTGCGGTGGGCGCATGCGAGCGCTGGCATCTGGGCCTGCGGTGGAGCTCCCTTATGCGGCAACAAAACGTGTGAGGGGTGTGCCAAAGTGGATGCGGTGGGCGCGTGCGAGCGCTGGCATCTGATCCTCCTGTGGAGCTCCCTTCGGTTAAGACTTCCCCTCTCGGGTATGGGCCTTGGGCCCAGATGGTTTTTCATGAGAAACTCTCCTTGGCTCAAATCATGTGTTTGGCATGGTCGGGCGCGTCTGCCTTGGGATCCAACGTCCATACCTCATGGCCCGCGGGGCCTGGTGAGTGGAGGGCCATGGATGTGCCTGTGCCCGCTGAGTGTGCCGTCCCGTGCAATCGGGCCCAAGCGGGGCCATCTCACGATCCCGTTCAACAAGGCGCCGTGCCGTCCCGCGGTGCCGCGTTGTGCCGCAGTGTCGCGCCGCGCCGCGCGTGGCGTCGGCCCATCGTGAAGCGAAGTGTGTTTGGTGGCCACAATTAGTTCCAGTGGCTTGAGGTCTTTAGGGTTTCTGTGGTGCCGAACGTACGTAATACAAGTGTTTTTGTCGTATCAATGTACACATGCCATACTATAGGAGGGTCGTATAGTGGGCCTGGAGTGTTCGGGCCTGGGGCGTTTGGGTGTTCTGCTTCGGGGTCTGGCTGGTCTTAGGCTTGGGCCTTGGGGCCTCTGGCGTCTCGGAAGCTCTCATGCATGTGCGTGCAGACTTGTGATTGGGGCCAAAACTCGGTGCTGTTTGCGAAGCCCCAAAATCAACGTCAAAACTTTTGAAAATATTGACGTCCGCGCGAGAGTCTGCAGCTCTGTCTGTCTTAGAAGAAGTGTTGCCATGGCCCTCCCTGCTGCTGCTGTTGCGCGCTTTGCTGGTGCGGGCTGCGCTCTCCTCCTTCTCCCATTCGGCTCCTCGGCTCTTTGCTCTGCGTGATGCTTCGCTGGTTCGCTGGGCTGGCTTCATTGCTGCTGCCAGGGTCACTTGCGGCCCTTTTTTTTGCGGAGTGTCCGTGGGCCCAGCTAGATCGGGCCTGTAACCCTGGCCCAGGGATTGCCGAGGCGCCCCCACCGCCTAAGGCCCAGGTTGCCCCCACCCCTTTTGCCGCCTTATGGCCAGGAGGTCGCGACCTGGTGTCCCTAGCGCTGCCTGGGTCGAGGGGCCCGTAGTCGTGGATACCACTTAACAAAATGACGAGTAGAGTGGAATTCAGTACATGCGTCGCTTTTGGGTTCGGTCACCAATGTGAGACGTCCCTGCAGTTTCTTTGGCGATTCCTGTGAATAGCAGCGTGGTTTTCGAGCGGGGTGTGTAATCTGGCACTATGAACAGTCTTTGGATGTATTGCCCCCAGCCGTTTTGGCCCCAAGCTTGAAGTCTGAAACACACACAGACTAGTTGAAACGCCGTGCTTGGAATGACCAGAACATCAGCATATGTCTTCGGATGATGATTGGCTTCAGACGACCGCACAAAGCAGTGATGGACGGAACGATTGGTTTCAAACGTTGAGTCGGGCTCGATCCGCTTCAAATATTGACACCCGGCCTGGAGATGGCGATCTTGAAGAGTCGTGGTTGCCAGAGAGAACGTTAGAGTCTTGTGCTATTATTGTTGCAACGGCAGCTTCTCGCCAGGAGGAAGCCCACATGAACTACATCAGAGATGTTGCCGTGCCGCCAGGTGGGACACATACACGCCGCATCAGATTTCAGTTTTCGTCAGCTGCAGATTCGAGTTTGACCACTAGGAAAAGGCCCGCTGCTTATTCGAATAGATGCGTTGAGAAGGACCCGTACGGTGATCTAGGCAAGCATATGTTGTATCCGACAGTTGAACACGCCACTCGGCTTTCGAGCAGCGCGAGCCTCGCAGCTGACATCGACGTCCCACCGTCGAAAATTCATGGGATGATGACAGCGCTCGCCTGCGCATCCAACGACACCGTACGGGAGGCCATAATCATGTTTGTGCAAAGAGCAGTTCATCAGTGTAAACGGCGGCAAGGTAGCACATTGGTGCAGCCAGTCTGCGCCGTGAGATACAGAAAATACGACGGGACCAAATGCAAACATATCAGAGTGTCATGTTTTCAATGGCGAAGATGGCGAAGAGCACCTCGCGACTCATAAGGGCGCCCACGAACTTTTCGTTACAGAAGGATGCTTCGCAATGGCGTTCAGGCAGCTGTCAGGCCCAGATGAAAGAATCATGATTGTGAAACTCCCGCAGCCAACGCTGTTGAGGTGCATCAATAGCACGAAGGCAGAGTGTATAGCAGCGGGCCTCGACCACTTAAACCTACCATGCGACAGATTGTTAGACGCGGAGTTCCATCGAGTGGTCAATGCGTTTGTATGCGACGGCTTCCTTGGGAACCTCAGGGATGAGAAGGCTCTGCTGCGCGACCCGCCTACCAGAACTTCGTTCGGCCTGCTGTGCGACGCGCGCGAGAAAACCACAGTGCAAACCCTTGCGATGGCGACGCTGGGGCCGTTGGACACCCACATGATCAGGTTCGCGCTCGCGTTGCAGGGTGGTGCCAGAAGCGATTTTCGGAGGGAGTTGCGAAACATCTTGCGGGAGCAATTAGTTATCATAAAAAGTGGGAATTGCCCAACTGAGGCAGCATCACGCAGACGTGCAATATTTGATTTGTTTACCCCTGGTACAGCGCCACATGATAAATACCGCAGGGCCCTGATCGAGACGTCATTCAATGGGGACATGCGCCTTCGAGGACGGGTGGAACACTACTGCAATGGTTGCTGTTCTTCGTATCGTGAGACGCTGCGGTTGTTTCTCAAAGAGAGTGTGCAGGCACATGTTGGGGCGGGCATCAGCGTTTTGCAGTGGGGCAATTGGGCGGGGACGTCGGAGTGCATCAATGAGATTGGTCTGGCATCGCACGTGCACGGGCTCGCTCCACAGGCATGGTTGAGAACAGTTCCAGCAAGGGTGGCTGCTTCCAAGAGGGGGGGCGCGCAGAGCGATGCAACTGGCGCGGCAGAGGGGGGGCCGCAGTCGGCAGCGCCACCAGGCGATGTCGCGCAGGAGGGGGGCGGGGGCGTGGAGGAGGACGCGCTGGGCGGCGACGTGTCCGTCTGGCGCCAGGACGCCGAGCCCAGAGCCAACGACTCCAGGAATTGGATCTTGAGCGGCTCCTTCGAGGATGACCTCCTCATCGCGCGCGTTCAGTGCGGCCCGTGCGAGACCCTGATCTTGAAGCAGCTGGCGCTTTCTGGAGTGTCGTGGGAGCGCAGGCAGCAGGTGCGATACCTTCGCGACGGCGCAAGGACTTATCAGTTGTGGGAGGCCCATCGTGGCGAAGCTGAGGGGGCTTTCCAGGAGGGCGCGGGCGCCCTGCTAGCGGGCGAAGGTCGGTGGCGAACCCTTTCAGACCCCACCGAGGCGCAACCAATGAAGTTGTACATCCTCTTGGCACGGATGGCTGCCGCAGCTTACGGGTTGGTCGACGTTCCTCGCAGGTGGTGGCCGTGCAAGACTTTTGCAACCTTGTTTGATGATGATGCCCTTGGTGACCTAAAGAACCCAGAGCACTCTAAATGTTGTCTGGACGCTTACACTTCTGACTTTCTCAGCTACTGCGCCGACGTTCTTGGACGGGTCTTGTGCGAGGGCCGAGCTCATGGCGCTGCTCTCGGTGATGGAGACAGACACGGGGTCAACGGAGAGAGAGAGAGAGAGAGAGAGAGAGAGAGAGAGAGAGAGAGAGAGAGAGAGAGAGAGATAGAGA